CGCTTTGTTGTATTTGAATTTGTCTTATGTTTATATTATATTATATGGTACAACTTCATCGGTGGTGGTGTCGGTGCAGGTGTTGTTCAACAAGTTGACGCCTGCTGATGGTCATTGTGCGTTGTCGTAATAACTTCAAGCTTTATGTTTTTTTTTTGTTTTTTGTTTCTTTTGGTGATTCTGAAAATACTACTAATTTTAATATTTGCCTATTCATTACCTTTTTTTTACGACCATTCCGAGTTCATCCACGGTATTCGCCCCCAGGCAAGACCAATTAACGGGCGCCGCAATACACCTTACCTAATGGCTAATCGCTGACGCTGGCGTTGGTCCTACGAAACTTCACACGTATTTACTCGCACTCGTGTGGATATTAGTGTGGCGCGCCGCTTCGTTGCCACCAGCAAATCGACGGACATTAGCACTGCAACCAATACAAATAGCAAATATTACTGTGTACATAAATACGAAATATTCGTAATAATAACAAATATTGAAGACGGCCAACAACAACAACAGCAGCAGCTGTCTGCAACGTAGTCGACACGCAAGGGCAACAAATGCGGACTGACGTGCATTGGTTGAACGGCATCTTCAGCTCAGCTGTTGGTGTGAGCGATTTTGGTGTTCTTTACGCCGCCTCGTTGTTGTTGTTGGTGTCTAGTAGCCCTCAGCTGAAAATTCATGGCGCTCTGCCCGGCAACTTTTTTATGCAGATTAGATCATTAGTGTTGGATTTTCGTTTTGCTCGCTCGCTTTGGTTGTTGTTGTTATTGCTGTAGCTATTGCTTTTATTAGTTTTCTTATTGGTTTTATTGTTGGTCTTGTGGTTTCTTGCTTTGGTTAACTCAATATTTGTGCGGTCATCAGCCGTTTAAGGTAAAGAAAAATATTTTTTTTTTTTTTTAGTGTGCTTGCACTTAAAACATTTTGTTGTTTCCCCATGGGTGCTATAATGTGTTGTTGCTGTTTTTTTTTTCTTTTTGGGCTTTTGACTGTTTGACTTTATATGTTGTGGTCGGTTACTGCTTTGCAGCTTGCTTAGAGGCCTGTGCCTGCTTCTTGCTGTTGTTGTTGATTTTTGTTGTTGTTGTTGTCAATGTTTACTTATCGGTTGCTTCATTTATGACAGCTGTTGCTCTTTCGGTTTGTTAGTTTGTTTGTCTTTTACAATTTTCTTCGCATCGGACTTTTAGTATTGGTTTCATTGAACTTGTGCGGCATATTAGGGTGTGCCGTAAATTGAGTACACCTTTTTAACGTTTTGTTAGAATGGAAAGAGAATTTATTTTTCTTTCATATTTGTATTTTTTTGTTTTTATGATAGCTTATATAAAAATAATAATTTTTTTTTCGTTTACTTTTTTAATGTATTTTTTACATTACATGTACATTTTTATTAAAAACAAACAAAATTTTAAGCACGCATAAACGATATTTCGGCTTCAACGAAACTATAATACCCTTCGCTGGTGCATTATTTTAGTATAATGTGTGTAAAAAATCTCAATCTTGATTTTTATTGGTCAATTTGTATGGCATCCATATGATATAGTGATCCAATCTGAACAACTTGTGTGGAAATTGCATTATTGCTTTAGAGTGTAAGCCATACTGAATTTCTTGAAGATATCTCGTCGAACGAAAAAGCTTTCCAAACAATAGGTGAGTTTGATAATCAGATTATTATGGCAGCTATATGCTATAGGGTACCGATATCGCCGGTTCTGACAAAAACCCTTTCTCTTGATGAGAAAAAAAAGATGTGCAAATATTCAAATCGATATCTCAAAGACTGTGGGCCTAGTTTGCGTATATGTAGACGGTCAGATGGCAAAAACTGAGGGTTGAGATCGGGTATATGTATTTTGATGGACACACTTGAACCGACTGACCTCGTCATGCTTATCAATTACATGTATATGTATATATTTTATAGCATATCCAATGTTTCGTTCTAATGTACTGCAATTTGATCTATGTAGTTTAGATAATTATAGCGTGGGAATTAAATTTTAATTTAGTTTTAATTTTAATTAATTTTAATATTTAGTTTTGAGACAACCACAAAAATAATATAAACTTCCCGTGTTTATTAAAATTATTAACACTTTATGAATTTTAATTTTTTTTTCACATATTTGAAGCCTCTTGCGCCACGGTAGTCAACAAAAATGTGCCGTTCATGTCTTTTAATCATTCAAGTCCATTACATATACCAACTAAAAGCCAATTATATACATATATGTCTTTTAATTATTCGTTAAAGCGTTTCGCGCCTCTTGCTTACCTTCAAAGATGGAAAAAAATCTCGCATGACATTTAATAATTTTCCAGCACTTGTTATAATTTAGTAGCATGCAATATTTAAATAATATATTTCGTTATATAATTATACATATATTTAACCAACTGTAGTAGTTGTTATCTTAATTTGTTCGCATGATATTTTATCAGACCAATATTATTAAATACTATATTCGCTTCTGCACTAATTAACTTAGTTCACCTTTGAATTAAATAAATTTGTATAAATAAGAAACTGGCTGACATTTATTAGCATAACACGTGTTTGATTATTCCTAAATATATTTATATCTATATGTATTTATTTGTATTTATATTTATACTCCTTGCTTTAACTATAAAAATTTAGTGGCAGATATGTGTAGATCAGCATACATTTTGCTGGTGATGTTGTAAGTGTTCGCATATATTAAAAGTGAACTTGAAAATATAGAAATATTTTCAAATAATAATCGATAATTTTAATTTATCGATTTTCAAATCGATATTTGCCGTTTCATTGAAGATATTTAAGCTGATTTATGATCTATTAAAATATTGTTCCTTTTCATTATAAACCTTTTCCGTTCTCAAACTTTTCTGGATATATAGTGTATATAGTGTAGTGTAGTGTAGTTAATTCAATATTATTATTTCTATAAGTTAAGTATTGTTTGTGTGCCAGCTTTTTGTCGCCCAAGCCAAATTCTGTTGTAGAATCACATTCAGTTCGTGTATAATAAGTTGTAGTTTCAAGAAGTGTCGAAAAAGCTTACGATATGAGCCTTAGGTGTTGAATGAGTAGAGATCGCTTATATACACAGACCATTGATACTTCAAAAGTGTAATGGCTTAAACTCTAGATGACTAATCAAAGGAAAATTAGCAGCAATATTTCGTTATCGAAGTTTTCAAACTTTATATCAAATTAAGTATGAGCCTAAAAATATTTTTCCAAGTTTTTAAAACTAGAGAAGATTAAGTATGGTTCTAAAATATCCTATACACACAGCTCTCACAAAATTATTGAAATAGGTTTGAGCTCGTTTGGTGCAGAAAATATTCATTACTTTGGATTGTATGTCCATAATGCCTGAAATCGGCATAATAGGGGCAGAAATATTGACACAAGGCTTCCTTCTATATTTGAGATAAATCGATCAGAACCTGGAATACACAGAATATTGTGTTGCTTCCAAAAGATTATACTTTTAAAAAATTATATTGATAAAAAATTTTCTAGACATTAATTTGTAGCTTCGGCTTAGGATACTTTGATGATTCTCGTATTGATTTATGGAGCGAGTACTAGATACCGAATCATAATGAAATATTCTTTTTACCACGATAACTCTGAGATTAATTTCATTGCATTTGAACTGGAGAGAAAGCACATGCTCTTAATAATGTTTGGTTTTAGAGTTCGATATTTTTGTCAAAAGTTGTTTTCGCTGCTTTATCGCTTATCGGATTTCATATAAACAATTCAGCTAAAGGACCAATTAGACCGTTGAAATTATAATAAAATATAATAATGGAACAAGCGCCATCGTGGTTTACAAAATAAATATAATTACAGAATGTTCTCGAGACAATCTGCTTAGTTTAAAAAATCTACATTAAGCCATAAAATAACCAATTCGTGGAGCTGTTTTCGTTAGTCTATGGATCTTGCCGATGCTTTGTGAGAAAAATTAACAACTGATCAAATTTGACCCGGACTGACAAAGAATTTATCGCCGATGCTTTGTGAGAAAAATTAACAATTGATCAAATTTGACTAGGAACTTGTTTTTATTTCACCCGGACTGACACACAATGTATCGCCTATGTTTTGTGAGAAATGTTAACCAATGATCAAATTTGACCCGGATTGACAAAAAACGATATTTTTACGTATTTTAATACACCACACACTTATTATAAGACTCGGCTAGTATAAACTTCAGTGCCTTAAGAGAATTTGTTTTTTGTTTCAGTTTCGGATAATTTTTCGATAGCCATTTGTTAGATTGTTGGTCTGTTTCGACATCATTTGATGACATCGGTTTTGTTACAAGCTTCAGAGCAGACGTCTCAGAGTTTACCCAAAACTTTAACCAGATAATACCCAAATTCATAGCCAGAACACTAACTGAAATGTGCTAGGTCAATCTATCAGAGATGTTGAGACCTTCTGCTATCTTTGTTAGTTAACGAGTCAAGACTTAAAAAAAAAAAATCTCTCATCTATAATACAAACTAAATACGTGTGTACAACTGATTCCATTTATCATTTTATTCGGCAGTAATATTTATTTTCTTGTATTTTTGGAAATTTGTAAATATTTTGAAGGTCCACTGCTTCTTCTTCAATTATGTAAAATTAAAAATATAGTATAGCTCAGAATTCTTTATTTTGTTGTAAACCAAAATACTGCAATGGCAAAGCGCATTGGTACAGGTTATAATATATGTAAATTATTCAGATACGGCATGAAGATAATGTAATGTAATGGAAAAATACAACATACCTTTAACGGCTCGGATTCTTGCAGGTCAACTTCCGTGTGAAGTGTGGCGGTGAGCCCTCGGTCAATGAAGCGCTGCAGCACTTAGGTGCGGAGCAACTGTATACGGTGACCTTTAGCTGCGACAAAACTCAAAAATCTAACGGGTATAAATACGTGTTCAATAGCCGACTTAGATATTATCAAACTTTGACCGTTGTGGTGTAAACTGCTCAAGCAATCAACAAACAAAAAATATGGTGCGTAAACAAACAGTAAAACAAATTGTCAATAAATGCAAACAAAGCAAACGTAAAGAGAGAAAAAAAAAAAAAAAAAATAAATAAATAAATAAAAAAAATAAAAATAAAATTAACAGCTAAAAATAGCAAACTTCATTTATCTAATATTTAAAAATATATACCATATGCTTAAAAATCAACAACAACTTGGGCTTCGTGTCTTACGACTCAAATAGTGCCTCCTTTTGTGTTACACACTAATCAAATCTATTCCATTTCGTTTATGCAGAAATTCTTCGTTGCCGCCTTCTTCGCCTTGCTGGCTGTCGCAGCTGCCGATGTCTCACATCTCGGTGGTGGTGGCTACAATTACCCAGCTCCCGTTCATGAGGCCGTGAAATCGGAACCGATTGCACCACAAAACACTTATATCCCTCCTCCAGCACCACAGAACACTTACATTCCACCCGCCGCACCCGTGCAGGAAGCTGTTCTCTCCGAACCAATTGCGCCACCACAAAACACATACATTCCACCGGCACCAGTTCAGGAGGCGGTGCTCTCGCAGCCAATTGCGCCACCACAAAACACCTACATCCCACCGGCACCAGTTCAGGAGGCGGTGCTCTCGCAGCCAATTGCTCCACCACAAAACACCTATATTCCTCCATCATCCTCTGTTGGTCAAGACGGTTACCGTTACAAGACCGTTCGTCGTGTTGTCTACAGACGCCGTTTCTAGATGAATCCACCGCCGTTGATTGTTTATTGTTTTTAATGTTGTTAATGAGGAATGTACCTGAATAATGCCTGAGTTCGAAATATAATTGTTGGAAATTTATTCTATCGACTTTTTAATTATTTAATTTTTTATAAGTCTTTCGCAAAACTCGAACATTCTCAAAGCAGACCCATCAGATGATGCCTCCGCACCATAGACCAGGACGGGAATGATGAGGGACCTGTAGAGTTTGGGCTTTGTTCATCGGAGGAGGACTTTTTCTTTCAATTATCTACTCAGTTCCTAGTAGCACCTGTTGGCAAAAGTGATTCGGCATTAGATTTCAAGGGCTAAGGCGCAAAATCAACGACTACTGTGGCCAAAATAATTTACATATAAATCGTCGGGGAAACCAAATTAGTGTGGTGACATATGCGGCATTTGGTATTAGGAAATCCATGGAGCTGATCTCTAATGGACCATTAGAGAACTCTAGAGTTAAATTCTACATATTTTAGAAAGCCAAGTAGCAATCAAGACGTAACCTCGTTTCGCATATCGGCCAGAAGTATCTTGAAAAGCAGGGTAACACGGTTCACATTTACTGGGTGCCAGCTTACGAGAGTGCCACGAGTAATGTACGGCTATCATCAGAAAACGTGATAAATAATAAATCCATGCCATGCTTTTGCAACGATCTGGACAAAAGCATGGCAAGGTAGGTCAAAAAACATTGGAGCGATCTACCAGGATCTAAACTGCAAAAGTCAATTGCATAACGGTAGCTCAGAAATATACAAAGTTCCTGTTTACTCATAAAAGTAACGTACTGCTGGTACCTGATCGAATAACTCACTGCTCACACCATAATGTCGGCACACGTCTCCAGTTTGGAGCTGAGAGATCGAGCTGAATGAGGAAACGTCAGGAGCAAGTCACCAGGAAAAACAATAAAGAATCTCTTGTGAACCTGTTCAGTAGTAGCAAGGCAGCGCTTCAAACATTTGGTAGCCAGGCGGTATCAGTAACTGGAAGCGGTATTGTTAGAGAGGTCGCAGAACCTTCTGAGAGTTGCGTCAAGTGTTGGCACTCTGAAGCATGTCTATTACTCAAGCACTACATAACGACCCTCTGGTAATGCAAGGGACCAAAACTGAAACTTCACATGGCTCATAAGCCTACCAGACTAACTTAACCTTAATTAAGGTATACCAAAAAATATCATAACCCTAAATGTAGGCAGTTTTTCATTAAATTTTGCATAACAATATTAATGTATTGCCTACATTTAGGCTGAAGTTAATTTTTTTCCAAATTATTTCATTATAGTTTGTAGAATATCGGTGCATTATATAAGATACAGGTACATATTAAAAAAATCAAATGTTATAACATCTCTGCCATCTTCGAGTCTCCAGTTTCCCTGCTCTCTTAACAAAATACTTACACGTGCAAGCCAGAATGAAGCTATACAATGAAACCAATCACAAAGGAATATGTGGCTAACTCACAAGAGTGCTGTAACCACTTGCCATTCTATTTGATTATGTCAGTCTATTTGATTTATACCAGCTCTCATGTCTGTCTGAGTATTTGCGCTCTTCACCACAATACCGCTAAAATGCCAAAAAAAAAGTTAAACACGGGCGCCAATCTTTCCAAAAACCACTTAAAAGCTGCGTGTGTGGAGACAACAAACAACAAAAAATTATAAAATGAGTCAAAAAAACTGCAACATTATTTACGTGAGTATTATCAAGGCGAAAATCCATTAATGCTGCCGACCACTCAGTGCGCGCTTCTTCATCGCTATGAGCGCACCTATAAAATCGGTGTGCAACATGGACATTTTCCCAGATGGCTGTTTCTGCTCGCCACTAATTTTCTGGCATACACGGCATTATTATTACGTGCACACATACACACACACACACACACACGTCGTTTTTTTGCATTGTATAATATTTCTGGCAGTCATAAAATCATACAAAAAAACTTCCTAGCCAAATAACCAAGGAATGCGTGTGCATGTAGCAAGTGTGTATAACAACGAGGGAACAACAAAAACACTGCAGCGCCAACATTTTATGATTAAAATGTGAATTTAGCCGAAATTCACCATAAACATGCAGTATAACCATTTTTAGAAAATTGCGCTGCATTACCAATACATATGCACTTTCATATACATATGTGACCCCAGCAGGGAAAGCATTCAGCTATTCGTTAATTTGTTTCATGTGAGAAAGTTGTAAAAATCATTTTATTTTAGAGAATTTAATCTACTTTACTAAACGTTGGTTTATTTTGAAAAATTTTGTATATCATTGAAATCAGTATCTATAGGAGGACCTACGAAAAAAACTGTATTGCCTTGAGGAAGACTTTGCTGCTTAAAATTATAAAAGCGTATTAATTATCTGAAATTCGAAAAGCAAAGAGATTTATAGATAGATGAATATAGATAGTGATCGAACGATTAGTCAAAATTTTATTTTTTCTACAAAATGGTGACTTCTAAAAAAAATGGTTTTTGTGAAAAATTTACGCCTCAGCGCGGCCGAAAACGAAATCTTTATAAAAATATCTTGTGATCCTTTCGAGATTTCCTACTTATTTTAAGAAAAATTCAGAAACTTCAAATTTATTGGGGAATATTTATTAGCATTCGAAAGATTATTATCATTTGAAGACTATCTGTCTGAAATGTTGACCATGGCGAGATTTCAGATGGTCCATTCGTTGAGCCCATTGACTCGAGATAACTCTGCTCTCTTCTTGTACGCACTTTCACAAAAATTAATGATTCTGATTTTTTTTTCAGACCAGTTCGATTTCAATCAGTGCTTCGTAATTGTAGACTGTCGTTTTCTTTACCGTTTTGAGTATTCCACTGCATCGCATATAAGCACATATTCATGTATATGCTGATATACATATATGTATGAAGTATATTTGTATATGTTTTGTGTGATTTGTTAGGCTATTGTTCCTTTATTGCTCGTGGCATTTTTATTGCCGTTATTTGTATTGTATGTGTATGCCGCTGAAAGAAGTGGCTGATCTTAGCATCGCATGAGATATACATGTACATATAATATAAAATATAAGTGTATATAATATATAGTTATAAATATTTGCAAGGTGGCACTCATCCTTTGCACTCGTTGCACTATCCGATATAATCGTGAGTATTTCTTTTTTCTAGCGCGCACACAGCCTTTGTTGTGGCCATTTTTATTGCCTCAGGGATGTAAACAATGGTTGGAATTTACCAGAAACACGCACACAAATTGACAACTTATAATTTTCTATTTGCGAAAAATGCATTTAATATGCAATATCGTTGATAGATATTTATTATATATTTATAAATACTTTATTTTATATATTAGGGTGAGTAAAAATCGATCTTTTTTCACTTTATACGCAGAAAATATGGTTGGTAGAACAAAAAATCTATCTCCAAAGATTGTCTGCAGGTATGAACTATAAAAATTATATAAATAGAAAGGCTCGCCATTTTCTAATTTTTCCTTACTATTGGAAATAAAAACTAATCCCACAGTATCTACTATTTGAAAACAAAAACCTAGTCTTGTAGAAAAAATCCTGCAAAAAAAACTGAATGAGACCATTTACGTAGAGAGGTAAGGTCGAAAGAACAGCTGGTAGGATGAAAATGGAAGGTTTCAAGAACGGAACATAATCTTGTTGGACCCAAAGTGGTGTTCTAGTGGCTGATGTTCAGATAATATTGAAGCTATGGAGAAAACACTTCTGCAGCCTGCAAACCCGCATGCCCGACCATGAAGAATTTCGAATAGCAATTATCCGCCTGAAGAATAACAAAGCGCCAAATACCCACCGTCAATTGGATCTCATCAGTGTGGCTATTGTGGCAATTTGGAGAAGATCCGTGAAAGGAAGTTTGACACACACCACCGCTCCGTCAATTTTAAAGCTAAAGATTTGGTATCCGCGCAAAGCTAATACGGCTGAGTAAACTGACGTTCGGCGTTACCAAAAGTTCCGTAGGGATCGGGCAAGACCTCTCCGAGCTGTTTGATACCAAACGTGGTTTCCGACAAGGCGTCTCCCTTTCGTGTGACTGCTTCAATTTGCTGCTGGAGAAAGTCATTCGAGCTGCTGAGATGAATAGTTAAAGTACAATCTATTGTTAGAGTGTACGACCGATGGCGTATGGCGATTACATGGATAACATTGGGCATAACAATTGCATTAGTATTGCTTTCTCTAGGTTGGACAAAGAAGCGAGGCAAATGTGTCTGTTTGTGAACGAAGTCGAGACCAAATATGTCCTGTCATCAGACAAACGTTAGTCGCACTCGCGGCTAGGCTCCGATGTCAATATTGTCAGTCAAAACTTCGAAGTCGTAGATAATTTCGTTTATCTTAGAATCAGCATTAACACCAACAACAACGTCAACATCGAAATCAAACGCAGAATATTTTTTGCCAGCAGGTGTTATTTCGGCTGAGTAGGCAGTTGAGAAGTAAAGGTCCCCCTTGACGAACAAAATCAAAGCTCTATAAGTCACTCATTAACCACCAAACAGCGAAAAGGAAAAACTTGTTGTTTTAAACTCGTCTATAATCACGTAAGCGGTGTCTATGTCAATAAAGAAGACGATTTTCGCGATATTTAAAGAAAAACATAAATTTTTTTTGACTCACCCTAATATATGTAGATATATTATACTATATACATATTTATATACTTTTTCGTTATTACTAAAAAATTTTTCGCCATATCTAAAGAAAAAAAAAATTTTTTTGGCGCACCCTAATACTAGTACATATATTGCATTGTGAATTTCATAAAAAGAGGTTAAGGAGTTTTATGGAATTATATATTTCTTATATGACATTCAATATGCAGATCTATCCATACAAATAACCATACTACGCTCTTAACGCTGACCCTTCTACTTACTTGTTGATGTATGTTTGGTTTTTTGAAAGTTCAGTTATTAATTTTATTTTGGTAAAGTCTCAAATTTAATTATCAAAACTCTTCAAACTGACCTTTTTGACAGTAGCCTTTGAGCTTTCGCACACTCATCAGTGTAGAATTAAGTTCATGAGTTGTTTTGTGA